TTGGTGGCCAAATATGAAGGCAGAGATCGCCACTTACGTGGGCAAGTGTCTCACTTGTGCCAAGGTGAAAGTAGAGTATCAAAAGCCCACAGGACTATTACAACAGCCAGTAATACCCGAGTGGAAATGGGAAAGGATTACTATGGACTTCGTAACCAAATTACCTAATACGGCAGACGGATTGGATGCTATCTGGGTGATTGTCGATAGGTTAGCTAAATCCGCTCATTTCCTGCCAATAAAAGAATCGTACAAGATGGAAAGATTAACCCGAATCTATATCAAAGAGATCGTGAGACTTCATGGAGTGTCAGTATCTATTATATTGGATTGTGATAGTAGATTTACTTCACGGTTTTGGCAGTCACTCCATAAGGCTATGGGAATACAACTAGACATGAGCACTGCCGATCACCCTCAAACTGATAGCCAGAGCGAACGAACCATCCAAACACTCGAAGACATGCTCCGAGCCTGTGTGATCGACTTCAGCAAGTCATGGGACACCCACTTTCCCCTTGATTCAATTCTCGTACAACAACAGCTATCATACGAGTATAAGGGTTGCTCCTTTTGAGGCCTTATATGGTCGCAAATGCAGATCGCCTCTCTGCTGGGCTGAGGTGGGTGACACCCAGCTCGCAAAAGGGCAATCACCGAGTAGCACTCTTACAGGACCAGAAATCATTCGAGAAACTACAGAGAAGATAATCCAAATCAAAGCCCGACTCCAAGCATCGCGTGACCGACAAAAGAGTTACGCTGACAAACGACGAAAACTTCTGGAATTCCAAGTCGGAGATCGGGTACTATTAAAGGTATCTCCCTGGAAAGGGATGATCCATTTTGGGAAACGAGGAAAACTAAATCCGCGATATATTGGGCCCTTCGAGATTCTTGCCCGAATTGGTCTGGTGGCTTATAAGCTGCAGCTACCTGCGGAGCTCAGCAACGTACACCCCGTGTTCCATGTTTCGAACTTGAAAAAGTGCTTATCAGATGAAACCCTTGTCATTCCCCTAGAAGAGATCGAGATAAACGAGAATCTCTTGTTCGTCGAAGAACCGGTCGAGATAATGGATAGGGAAGTGAAGCGTACGAAACAGAGTCGCATTCCGATTGTGAAGGTTCGATGGAACGCTAAGCGTGGACCGGAATTCACTTGGGAACGCGAAGACCAGATGAAGCAGAAGTACCCTCACTTATTCTCTCGTTCATGATCCTACATTTCAAAAGAATTTCGGGACAAAATTCCCTCTAATGGGGGGATGATGTCACAAATAGAATTTTAGCTTGGGAATTCTATCCTCATGTAAACATCAACTATTGTAATACTTGTAAATATCATACTCTATGCTAAATCAAAATCATCCATTTGAATCAAAACTCATGAGTAAAGTTCAAAACCTAATACAATACATCTCATATACTTAACTATGGGTCTGAAACCCTAAAAATCCCGGTTCAAATTTATTATGGACTAGGATCCTCTTATTGGGCCTAATGGGCCAATAAACTTTCAAGTTGGGTATGTTGGGCCAAGGAACCCTATTTGGGCTCTCATTGGACCCACATTCATTAAGCTAAAGTATTTTGGGCCATTTTGGGCCTAAAATGACTCACTTTATTTTTATGGGCCTTAATGGGCCATAGATGTTTTCTTGAACCTAAATGGGTCTAAAACCCATTATGTTCACTCTTTTGGGCCGTAAACCCCTAAGAGGGCCCAATGGGCCGAAAACTTCCACCTTGGACCTTGTAGTTTCAAGTATATTCAATTATAACCCTACATTTTCTTCTCACCCTATCTCATTCTCGGCCCAATAAAAAAAATAACAAGATGACAAACTAAGAGCCACCTAATCTTTGTATGGTGGACTTCCATGCTTAAACACAACAAATATCAAGACAATCACATACACCCATGCAACATCATTTCAACATTTCTCTCCTTCTTCTCTCTTCTTCTTAACTCTCGGCCAAAGAGTGTCTCACCACTCTCATCTTCTTTCATTTCAAATCCACCAAAAATCTCTCTAGAACATCAAGAATTCACTCATCTTATCTCCAAAATTTCGAGTGTGTCTTGTGAAAGATCAAGAACTCTTCATCAAAGCTCATTACTCTTGGTAAGTTATTGTTTAACTCTGTGGTTTAACTTCAAGTTTACACTAAAAATCTCTTTTTAACCCACATCATTTCATGATCCATGCTCTTAGAACTTCATAGATCTAGAAAATCTCCTCAAGGAAACATCTAGGGCCGAAATCTTCTTCAAACTTTTTCATCAAACCGAGAACAACAACCCAAAGTGAGTTCATACCCCCTATTTTCGGTTTTCACTATGTTTTGGGGGAGAACACAAGTTGTTTTGTGTAGATCTATGTGTTTATGCATGCATATGTGTGTTTTCATGTTATATGTTGTGTTTATGTTATAAAAACATGCTATATCTTTGCCAAACTCGAAATATCTACTATATTTGGTGATGTTTGTAAACTAAACCATCTTATGTGACATACTATGTGGTGCAAAGGATTAAAAAAGCTAAAAATGTGTGAAAGCTAACCAAAATCGTGTAAAGGGCCATTTTTGACAAAATAACCAAAAAGTGAGGTTCTTATGTAACTCATGGTTTTGAGAGGACCAAAAGAGTCATTTTTAAATCAAAATGGATCTTTATGATATTCATGGTCTTAAAGGGGGCCAAAAGTGCAAATTTTCACAAATGGGCTTCTATGTGGGCCTTCACGGTTCTAATGGGCTAAATATGTCAATTTTCACAAAAATTGGCCTTATTTGGGCTTCTCACGGCTTTGGGCCAAAAATTATAACTTTTTGGACTTTTGTGGGCTTAAATGTCATTTTCAACAAAATTGTACCAAAAATGTAAATTTTTTATAAGAGGGATTAAAGATGTGAAAATATTAAAATTTGGGCCAAAAAGATGAAATTATCTATAATGGGCCGAAAATGCACATTTTTATAAAAATCAAGCCAAAAGAATGATATGTTTGACAAAAGTGAGTTAAAAATGTTATTTTTACAAAAACTAGCCTTAAATGCAAGTTTTGTTCTAAAAAGGGGCCTAGAATGTTATTTTTACCAAAAATAGGCCTTAATTGTAAATTCTTGGCTTAATGGGCCAAGAATGTCATTTTTACAAAAAGTGGGCATTTTATGTCATTGTGGTAAATAATAGAGCTAAAACTAGCAAAATAATAACAAACAGGCTAATTATGTCATTCTCATGTTTATTGGGCCTTAGTGACCCATTTATATGTTTGATAGGTCCTGAATACTCTTTACATGTTTATTGGGCCTTGTTGACCCATTTACATGCTCGACGGACCTTGGATACTCTTTGCGTGCTATTTGGGCCTGTAAATACCTTACATGTGAAATGGGCCTTAGTTGTCCTTTTACAAATATTTTGGGCCCAGGTTATATAATCTCATTCCTTGAGCCTAGAAATGGTTTACATGTTTAGTGGGCCTTAGTCGTTCACTTACATGTTCATTTGGGTCTAGAATGTGTTTTATATGTTTCTCTTCGCGTAAATTCGATTAAGGATCTAGTGAGACGTGTCGGTTGACACCTATTGAGTGTACGATCGTAGTCTGTAGTTATAACTAGAGTCTCTTTGAGGGAGAGCGGGGGTTTGTGTATAGATCTATACGGGGATGACACCCCACACATGAGTTGTTCGCTACAGCTAGACTAAACTAGTCTAGGGTGACAAAAACTTTATTCTATTCCGTCGGCGTCCATAAAACGCCAAGACATGCAAAATTGTCATTTTTTAGTATGGTTATAACGACTCACTTAGAGGAATTAACATTATGAAATTTACGGGAGACCATTCTCTTTTCTCTTTGGATTACTCGGGAACATACTCGCGCCGGTACTCAACCTCGGGGGTTGATATACCAGCATTCTCTTTTACAGACAACATCGAGTTGTCTGGGGGCATTCTCTTTACATTCTCTTCATTCTCTTTTGGCATTTTAGTAAACAATAACACACATGCATTAATACAAGATCGGACACAAACATACTAAACTGTTTTAAGAAAATATAGGATTTTCTTGTGATTACAAAGTTATACAAATCATTTTCTCACACATGCTTATGAACTCACCAACACTTTTATGTTGACATTTTTAAATTAACTTGTATTCTCAGGAAACCGTTGAGCAGGTTGGGCTGAAAGAATCCATGGATATTTTGTTATGTTTTGTTGCATCATATTTTAACTATTTTGGGCATGTAATATTGAAACACAATACTTGATGTAAACAATGAATGTTGTTATATTACATGTGTGATGATGATAATGTTATGTTTCAATTATATACTCTGTGATGATAGTACAATGTTGAAAGTCACACCAAGCCCCCGGATGTTTCCGCCGTCTGGTTCGGAGGTGTGACATATATATATATATATATATATATATATATATATATATATATATATATAATATATATATATATATATATATATATACAAACAATAAAGCACAAAAACATACACTTGTTGAAATGGTAGGAGAAGCAAGTACGAAAAAACATACTAAAGACTATATGACATGTACCCGAACAAGACTTAATATACTCAACTGTAGTCTTTTATTTGAGGTCATGTCATCGCATAGCGTCAACTCCTTCATTTCTAACATCACACTATCATCCCTCTTTCTCCTTAACGACCTCTCCTCCACTTCCCGTCTACTATGACCGATTCCACCTTGGTAAATGTTGTCGTTGACAACCTCCATTTACAAATGTTCATATTGTTGTAATCTATAAGAGGGTTGTTTACTTTTTATATTAAGAAAAATGATAAATACGTATGTATATATTAAGGAAAATTTGTCTATGAATTAACAAAAAAATGAAAAAAAAAATCAAGTTTTGAGGGAAATATTGAAAAAAATAAGTTTGGCTGATTTTATAACTTTTGGTTTATCATAGGGCCTATTTGTAATTTACTTAAAAATGCACGAAAGTTTCGGCTATCAATTCTTACCCCTTAAGTTTTTTAAATTAAAGTTTGACCCCTTTCTTTCTGTACAAGCTTCGCCCTCCGGCTACCACAAAGACCACCTAAAACCCTGGACTGCACCACCGATTCCGAAATTGCAGACAGAAATGGAGATCGATCCACAATATCCAGAACCTGAAGCAGACAAAACTGAAATCATTAACGACGACGATCTCTTCAGAGCAGCAGACAACGGCGACGTTTCATTTTTCAAATCCCTCTCTCAGGCGCAGCTGCTCCGTTGTCTCGCTCTTCGTAACGAAGACGGACGATCGCTACTTCATGTCGCCGTTTCTTCAGCCCGCACCGAGGTTTCCATTTTCCTAGCCATAGAAAATGAATTCATCAATTTGTACGAAATTGAAGAACTATTTAGGATTATTTTGATTGAAAACGCGAACCTTTTTGTTTTTTTTTTTTTTTTTTTATAAAGTAAAGGTCGAGTTTGATTTCTCCACAATTAATCTGCAGCAAAACTCTTGTCAACTTCGAATTTGAAATTTTCTAGGTTTGAATGACAAGAGTGCCACTGTTAAGTCCTTTCTTGTTGAACATTGATTTCAATAATACAGGTGGTGAAGATACTCGCAGCTTTTGATCACTCAATCAGTGGCATTAACAGTGCTGATGAAGAAGGTTGGGCACCACTTCATTCTGCAGCAAGTAGTGGAAATGTTGAGATCGTCAAGATTTTGCTTGACAGAGGTTGGATAATTCTTTTTCTGCTGAAACTTTTGGATCCAAATAGTGAATTACTTGCTAAAAACAACATTGTGATGAACAGGAGCCGATGTAAACTTGAAAAACAATGGAGGTCGCACTGCTCTTCACTATGCTGCCAGCAAGGGTTGGTTGAAAGTAGCTGAAATTCTTCTTTCAAACGGCGCAAAGATCAATTCAAAAGACAAGGCTAGTAACTTCAAAATTCCCCTAAAAAACTTCATCATTTTCTTTTTGCAATCTTTACCTGATTTGATAATTGTTTGATGTTCATCATATACAGGTAGGGTGCACACCGTTACACCGGGCTGCAAGTACAGGGAAGTCAGAGTTGTGTGAGCTTTTGATTGAAGAAGGTGCAGATATTGATGCTGTTGATAGAGCAGGACAAACTCCTATTATGAGTGCAGTTATATGTTATAACAAAGAGATAGCTCTTTTACTCATCAGACATGGTGCAGATGTTGATGTTGAAGATAAGGAAGGATACACTGTCCTTGGTAGAGCATCAAATGAATTTAGACCCATACTCATAGATGCTGCAAAGGCCATGCTTGAAGGATGAAAGCTCTAGGAGGAAAGAAAAACACTGAAAATGGTGTGTTTATGTTTTTTTTTTTTTTTTTGATAGTATATTGAGTAGTAATGCATGCATGTTTAAAGCAAAATGTTGCAACTTCTTTTGGGTTTTTATTTTGTTATTGAATTCTGCGTTGCCATGAAGTGTTTTTGTTGAAAATCTAGATTCTTGAGGGAAACAGTGAGAATTGTCAAACGATTAGAAAGAAGGGAAAATGCTAATGTAGCACAATGTCTATAAATCTTTCAAAGAACAATATATTGTTCTACTATTTATAAAAAAGAATGATCATCAATGTCTATACCTTCTCAAAGAATAAGGATATGGATTAAACTCTTCAATGCACGTGTTGGTTTTATCGATTCAACCATTTCCACAAAAAACATTTGATCATCATATTGGGTAAAAAACAAAGTATCTTTCCTCATGTAACATTAAAAAGGGGTAAGTATTCTACTATTGATAAAAACTTTTGATAACTAATGTCATCTGACTTGTCAAAAATCACATTCTAAGCCACTAATTTCGTAGCTCGGGTAGAATTTTCTTCAAAATTAGATCTTTTGCTCTCGAAAATTGAGATCTGTTCCTCTTTACATCAGCTTCCATACGAGCTAACTTACTCTTCAATTCATTGTTCTCACCAACAAGCTTCTTCACATGAGCACGCAACTCAGTAATGGCTTCTCTTTTCCGATCATTGCTTTTCACCAGCTCAGCCTGCAGCTCTAAATTATCTTCAACAAGTTTCATCACACTCAACCTCATCTCATCACAACGATTCTCTAAATCATCATCAAACTGAAAAAACTCGTATCTCTTTTTCTTTAAAAGATCTTCAGATTTCAGATCATACTGAAGTACTTTAGGAGAAAACCGGTTAGGGTTTGCAAAGATGGGGGAATCCAACTTGGAAAATGCACGTAGATGTTCATATCTTTTCAGTAACTGGTCGTAGTTTCCAGCCAAAAGTTTGTAGGATTCTTGAAGATTTTCAACGGATTTAATGAGTAAAGGCCTCTTTTTGTAGAACATCTCAGCCCTTTCTGCAAATGTATCCCCATCGTCTTCAATAAAACTTAATATGTTTTTTACCTTCTTCTCCAACTCTACATGCATATATAAAAACAACACAAACTTACTAGGGTTTCATACCCTTTATTTGACTTTTATAGTCAAAGCATCGACTTTTAGATACCAAAGTAATAATTAATTCTGACAAAGGTTTATGTGAGTCGATATTACATGATCAAACGTGAAAAATCATGGGTTTTTGTCGAAATTTATGTCTTTAATCTTGACAGAAAGAGAGAATCAAACCTGATAAAGTTGACTGCAGCCATTGAGATTGATGGAGACGATTATGAGTGTTGTCAAGCCACCATGAATGAGAAGAACCATTCTCGGTGTTGGTGTTGTTCTCCATGTGTTCTTATAAACCTTCAAGAAATATAGATACTATTCATTAATTATATATACAAACATAATTTTGGATTCCAAACAAACTTCCTAATTTTTTTGTAACCTTAAAAGAGATATAGATATAGTAATCAGTAATTCATGTACGTATACATATATACACGCATAATTATGGATTTCAAACAAACTTTCCTAATTTTATTCTTACAAACGGGCTTTTAAAACAGCCAATAAAACTATAAAAATCCAGGCCTCAGCCCATTTTCAAAATGTAATGAAATATTGAGAATAAATTATATGGGTAGATAGTTGTTTGATAATCGTTAATTGAGTGAGATTGGGTCACATACAACCTTAAATATGAATAAACTGCATATCAGATGAGTCATGACCAAATCAAGACTTCTAAGTGTAATATCAAACTTCATGAAGACCGAGTACAATGTTTTGAATGTAATCCTTGATAAAATTATTCTATAACCTACTCAGAAATAAATTTGGAGATGTGAAAATAAAAGTGGATTTGATTATTTGAATGAGTGTTTTGAAACTTATATTTAGTTTTTAAATTTAAGATAATAAATTTTGTTTTGTTATTTGTTTTTAATTAAATAATTAAATTCATCCTCGTACCGGCGTGTCATCAATTTAATTTATTTTATGAGAAATTAAATATTCTTCTATTTTTTGTTCTTATAAATCCTTATACCCAATTAAATAGCGACATTTGTAACCTTTAATGTTCATTTAATGGAATTTAATAATATTTTAGTATACTAATATGACACATGTAATCATTTGGGTAGAAAGATTTGTAGAAAAAAAAGTAGAAAGATATTTAATTTCTCTTATTTTATTTTTCACTCTGTTTATTTCATTATTTCACTTAAACACATAATTTCTCAGGTATTCCCATCTATTAAATATCAATACAATTTTGTAATTTAACCTTAAATAGATGAATAACAAAACCCAGTAACATACCAAGATTGCTTCTATGTTTCAAATTCAATAAAAATCTCTTCTTCACTTCTCCTTCTCTGTCTGAATTTCACTCTGAAATTCTCTCAATTTAAACTAATTAATTGCATGTATACATAAAGAAATGAAAGAGAAAACATTATATATATATATATATATATATATATAGAGAGAGAGAGAGAGAGGAAGGATCATTTGAGAACCTATAGTTTCCCGAAAACCCGAGAACCAAACAAGAACTGTTAGATCAAAATAATAGAGGGTCAAGATGATCTATGACATTTTTGTAAATAGTTAGAGAAAATAAGACACGGGGGTAAAGAAATTGAAATGAATCAAGTTCATTTTAGGAATTATTTTAATTCCCTGATTAAACCTCCCATTTACATCTCTCTCTCTCTCTCTCTCCCCCTCTTTCACGTCATCTTCTTCACCGTATCTCTTCCCTCTTCGTCCCTCCTCTATTGATCGACCACCTATACCTCTGCAGACTACTACAAATCCATTGTCATTCATCTCCAAATCATCGATGAATAATTCACGATCCAAGAGATCGATGTCGGTCGTATTCATCTATCTAGGTTTTATATTCAATTAAGTCGAAAGTGCTTTTTATTCTTTACTGAAATCAGAAATCCATCATCTCAACTTGATAATCGAGATTTTTACAGGTTCTGATTTGCATTGACTTCCAATCCACGATACCTAATTTCTAAATCGTCGGCAGATAATCAACGAATCAACAAAACAACACCATTCCGCGTATTAACAGATCTAATCTATTCTGAAACAGCCATTGCCAACTATGAAGGTATTGCTCATGTTTCTGTATTTCAAAGTGATATCTCTAGTGTGTTTCTGCAATATTTACACACGTTGCTTTGTCTATACGTGTTTGATTTCAAGCGACATTGCTTTCATTTAAAGCTTCCGTCTCAGCTTGTTCGTCACCATCAATGCTTCCATGTTGAGTTCATCATTAAGTATAGCAGGTGAAATTTTGTTCAATCATTGAAGACTAATTATTTTTCTTAATCATAGGACTTATTTCACATTATAATCTGGAGTTAATTACAGTTTAAGGTGTGTTTTTTGCTTGCTAATATGTTACAATTTGAGTTTATTTGAAGCGACGAGTTGTATTGCCTATTAGGTGTTTGACAAAATGCCCCAGTGAACTATTGAACAATTCATCTCTAATTAAAGTGGTTGTATTGTATTATTGTATCAACTAATCTCCTATGTTGACCCGTGCTTATGAAAGGCCTCTCTATTTGCTTTTGCATCTGTTTCCTGTGATAAAATTGGAAAAAAAAAACCTTATTTTTGTTATGCTTTAGAATTGGTTCTTCTTCATATGCTATGAAAGCAGTTTCTACAAATGAAAGTGTTATTTATCTATGTATGTATAATTTTACAGGGGCACATATTATGTTTGTATGTATGTAATTGCCCCCAATATTATCATATTAATTTTTATGTTGGTATCTCCTGGTACATGATATCATAATTATCATTCTTCCTTTTGGGACTTTTCTAAATCTGTATAAGTTAGTAATCTGATAAAAATGTATTTGATACAATTTGAGTTGCACATACTCAAGATCATTATCTACCTGATATGCTTTTTAATGTGCCTAAACGTAGGCTTCCAGTTAGTTAACTTCTGCAGTGATGATTTATGTGCATTTCTTCTTTTGTTTTGTTTTGAACATGTTAACAAAAGTTGAGATTATATATCTAATGGAGTGAACTTGGTATTCTATAATAATGAAAGAGATTGTTTATTTATTATCATGGTTATAAAGAAAGTTATCTTATCTCGTCCAATTAGGATGTAATGATATCTGTAATTTATGGTAATTGTTCTTGTTGAGTTTGGTGAATTGGATCTCTATAGTGGTCTTACGCATTTATGCTAATTGCTTCAATGGTGTGTGATTTGTTGGTCTTATATTGAATGTCTCCCTAGATGAAGGTTAGTACACATGGAGAATTGAAGGCTCTTGTGGGGAAGCATCTTCTAAAGGTTAGTACACTTGAAATGTTGTTCCTTTATGAAATGTGTTTTTGCCATTTTTTATAATAACTTTTTTATGGGTGATGTTAAACATGTTCTTGTGGTAGACAAATTCCGTATACATTGATGCACATAAACACATGTACATGGATTCATTTACAATTACAAATCCACATATACATATACGTTGGTACACATATAAATACACTAATAAATACACATACATAGATGTTGTACTTCCCAACCACCAATTTAAAGACACTTTTTTATTTTGTGAAAAGTGGATTAGGAGGTGTCTGAATCATTATAAATGGCAAGCTCTACATATTATTTATGTAGTGGATAAATGAATGTAGTGGATCAGACATAATAAAGATAACATAAGGATCTAGATTAGATATCAGAGCAGCTATAATTCAATCAAATGTTTTTGACTAATTTGTTAATTTGAAAAAATAGCAATTGTTAATTCTTTGAAGTTATGTAGTCGGTAATTTTTTTTATTGTTCTTAGGATTTGAGTTTTTAATCCTTTAACCAAAATATTATCATACTTCTTTTTAGGATTTGAATATTGATTTATAATTGGCATCTTTCTAACTTACTTATTTTTCATGGAGTTAAGAAATTTTCTTTACCTATTGTGCTTATGTATAAAAAAAGTAGACTTAGCTGAAAATGTTTAAATATTATTTATATACATGAAATAATAATAATGATGCTTTTATTTTTTGGTTTTTATGACAGTGATACATTTTTTCATATCACCACTGCTGGTAGCACACAGATTTGTTCCACTTCTACTGTCAAATCTGATTTTTACTGTGGCTATATCTTACTATCACTACCTCAACTTTTTAGGTTTTGATGGTAACAAATTTCTTTCACCTTCATACACTCAATCTACTAAATGACCATTTTATCCTTCCATTGAAAAAAAATCACAATACTAATATAATGTTCATCAATAAAGAAATGTTGTTATCATACGTAAAAAAATAAAGTACATTGTCCTTAATGAGCATCATTCTAATAAAAAGCAAAAATAATTGCTAAATTAAGCTTTTTATCTTTAACAAAATGAATTATAAATCATTTTTTTAATAATAATGAACACAAATCAGTTTTGATAAACTAATTTTTTTTTAGGGTTTGGGTGTTGGACCAAGCTCTGGAACACCCCCTGTTATTCCAAATGGTAACTTTCTACATTTTTTTAGTATTGGACTTCTCGGATTTGTTTTTGTATTTTGTCATTGAGTACTTGAATTACACAAAGAAAAAGTAATTTCTAAATTCAATTTTTTTGTTCTTTGTTTCCAGTGAATTGAAGTTGGAATTCCTTTCCTGGAAACCAGTTCAAAAGATTCCACCAATGTGGAACAGACTTTCATGGCCATTACTGCTTCCATCAAAGGTACTTAATATTTTCATTTTTTTCTTTTTTATTAAAGACCAAAATACTCTCATTACATATATGGAAATAAATAAAAATAAAAAAATTTAGTTTTATGCATTTACAATAAACAAAAAATATTTAAATATAAATAAATATTTCATTTTTATTATTGAATTCCATTCTGTCCAACCAAAATTTCACATTTCGATTTCAATTCCAATTCCAATCTTGAATTTACATATCTACATTTCTATTATTCCAATCATAACAATTTTCCAAAATTTAATTTACCTATTTACTACCCTTAAATTCACATGTAAATCACAAGTGAATCACATAAGAGTTACATGTGCTTCATATGTAATTTACATATAAATCACATGTAATTCACAAGTACATCACAAGTGATTCACACATGAATTACATGTGATTCGCATGTAATTCACATGTAAATTACTAGTGAATCACATATGAATTACATGTGATTCATATGTAATTTACATATGAATCACATGTAATTCACATGTAAATCACAAGTGAATCACATATGAGTTACATGTGATTCATATGTAATTTACATATGAATCACATGTAATTCACAAGTAAATCACAAGTGATTCACATATGAGTTATATGTGATTCACATGTAAATCACATGTAATTCACATGTAAATCAAAAATGAATCACATGAGTTGCATGTGATTCATATGTAATTTACATATGAATCATATGTAATTGACAAGTAAATCATAAGTCATTCACATATGAATTACATGTGAATTCACATG